ATGAGGAAATCCCTCCTCCGCCACCCATGGCTCCTACAAATGTCAACTATGCACAGCACAGTTCAGCGGGCGCTTGGATTCCAGATAAGACTGAAGATACAGCTAAAGAAAACGAATTCATAGGAGCGGTCGAGGTCAAAGGTCTGCATCATCAAGGAGACAAAGATGAGGAAAGTGCTTCTCAGGGGGCAAATGGATCAACAGTAGTCCACGATGAACAAAACCCATTAACTAGCTTTGGGATAATCGAAGAGGCTGAAGATACAACAGACGTGTCAGGTGAATCTAAAATCTCAAAAGAAAGCAACGTACACATGTCTAATGAAAATGAATTGGTTGTCAAGAAGATGGATTCATAAAAATAGATAAGGTTAACACACTCTATGGAAAATTCTCGAAATTTACAGGTATTCAACAACGAAAAACCCGAATTTAGTGCCGCAATTTGATATTAGAAATTTTAAATTATTGTTCAAATTTTTTACTGATACAAAAAATGTTTTTTTTAATTTATTTGCTTTATGTGTTAAAAAAATATACTGCGAACAATCCAAGTCTTCTACGATATTTATCTTCTTTTTTTACTGTACGATAATATTATTTTTAAATGCAACATTTTTAACTCTTAAGCGGTTTATTATAATATTACTTTTGTGAAATTTTATAATAATTTGTAACGAAAGCTATACTCGTTGTATATTTGTTTAACGTTTGATGTTTTTTTAAATTAACATTTTTATGTAAATCCCGAATTAAGACTGTGTTGTCGACGGGTGCTCAAATTGTTTGTAATTGAATTTTTCAATTACTGTTTTAGAAATAAGGTATAATATTATACAAATTTCAAATTAAGCATTGTTACTGCAATTGGGAACATTTATTTTGATGGCAAAAGTGTAAATAATTTACACAACTATTTAATATGCTCACAATAAGTTAAACTATTGTATTTCATTTTACTATAAAAAAATCTTATATAATTACTTATGTTATGGGAATTTGCAATTGTAGAAAGAATAGTGTGTTAATATTTTGGATAACCAATCTAGTTTGAGTGATAAATATAGTAAAATCCTTCAACACTTATTTCGAGAAATGTGTTTCAACTGCCTTAGTATAAACTCAATGGTTGCAACCGAACATCTAGTATAGTACAAACAAAATAATAATAGAAAAATGCTTATTACTTTTAACTGTTCAAATAAACTGATAAAGTGGTACTTCAAGTATAATTCATACGCATGTGGACTTGGTATTTTATTTTTATGAAAGCAATTTTAATAAATAATTAAGTGTTGCATAGGCGTTTAATGGTCGATAATATTGTATTGTTAAATGGCTGCAGGTCGCTGAGCAGCGGAATTATCTATATCATGTTTCCCTTTAAATTCTTGACCTTTAATAATGGCCCATTTCCACTGCTGCATACTACAGAAAAAATACTCACTGTTATTAATCTCGGACGCAAGTAGTATGCACCGATTTCCATGGTCAAGATGTATAGGTATAAAAAAAACTATAATATGATTATCAACAAACGGGCGACTGTTACCTGTAAGTACATTAAACGGTATCTCCGTCGCAAAGAGTAGGATGTGTTTTTATATTTTTATACATTTTTAGTCGTCGAACTGGATTTTTACCGAAATCCCTACAATCAAACCGTTGGTTCCGTTTTGAATGTTATATAACACGTCTTACTTACCTATTTAATCAAATTTACTACACTTGCTAATTGCAGCTGACCGCGTACCACCGACAGGATCAAGCGTGAGTCGTTTTTTCCTCTCCTCCAAAAGTTTTGTGTTCACATTGTTATGCTCTTGATACTACCCTTATTGACGTGGCTGGTAACGTGCGGTCAAGTAGGGGTGGCGGTCGTCGGTTATCCGGTACTGGTCGACAGGGGCTGCGTCCTCCGTAAGAACTTGGGGTCACTAGGAGAACTTGGTGAATTTGGGGTCACATCAGGGCTGGCCATTCTGAACGACTTGTTTAGCGAAACGTAAGTACAAGACCGTGTTAGTCGTTAGATAGTGTTGGAATTAGGTATAATTATAGATATACCTGATTTTCGGATTTCATAAAATCCGAAATCCGAAAGCAATTGATCATTTCGGTAATTTTCGGTGTAATTTTTACATTTTCATCAAAAACATTTCACTTGAGTACATACTTGTACACATTAGATATTTATAATATATTCAAATGGCTAATATTTTCTCAAATATTTTTCATTTGAGTCAAACAAGATAAAAATATTTTGAACAATCAACAAAGGACTACTCAAAAATAAGTTATAAATGATAATTTATTATAATACAGAAACAATGATATTGAATGTAAAAATTATTTTCAGTGTGTCAAAACATTAATTAGTAATATATTTTAGATAAGTATTTTATAGATTATTTAAAATAGGTATTAATTAATAAAACTAGTATGAACCAGAATTAAAATGAAAACCAAAACTTAGCGGTGAATAATTCATTAATCTTAATCATAACTGTAAAAAAAAAATTTTTAAATAAAAAAAAAATAACTTCGGACTTAATGGGTTAAGCAGCTAATGATTTGACCTATGCGTGATGAATAATGTTTTTGGACTGCCTATCTTTTATTTTATTTTAATCTGTCTTCGAAAAAAAAATTCTATTAAAATAAAAGTGAGCACCAAACTATTTTATTATTATACAACAATAGTTGTTTTCTATTTTAAAAACAAAACGTTTGATTACATAATAAATTATGAGCATTTTTTCTAGCATTTTAATGTTAAAAGTAAGTGGGTTTTTTATACATAAAACTTGTAAATGCTCTTTAGAAATTTAGTCAAAAACATTTTGTAGTTGATATTTGTGTGAAAAATACCATATTTATAAATTTCATTCTTAATTAATAATTAAGAAGTGTGATTAAAACATTTGCGATATTAATATACGATTTTCAAAGAAAAGTTTGATAATTACATATTATAATGTATTTTAATATAATATAATATTATAATGTATCAAAATAATATTCATTCAAATCATATTGTATTTATGTATATATGTAAATTGTTCGAAATATGTAATTATTACAAAAAAAGTCTAGATTAACAGAATATAACTTATACGTGGAAAAATGAAGAATCAGCAATTAAAATGTATGTATAATTGGAACGTTTTGTAATTTTGTATTCGATGGAAATCGTTAACCACGTATTTTCCTGTGTTTAGAAGATATATATATTTTTTTAAAACTCTTTTATATACGGACATTTTTTTTTATTTATGAAAACAATATCTATAATTTTAGTTCAATCATAAGATATTTTTTTTTTTAAAGTAGACTGATGTAAATTTTTGTTTTTTTTACCGATTTTAGATGTGATTTTTAGTAGAAAAATCTTCACAAATAATTTTAGTTATTTATTTGATATTATTTAAGAAAAAATATATGCCTATAATATTAATCTAAGAAATAATTAAAAAATATATATAAATAGTTAGTTGGATGAAAAATCTGAACAACAATTACATATAATTTTTCTGTTTCTGGTTTTTTGTATTCAAGTTATGATAATATTTGTTCATCAATACTACTCTTCGCATCGCAATGTTGCTTACAACCCTTATTGAATAAACTATTTTCACACTTGTAGGTATCATTTTGGAAATTTTTAAAATTCTCTTACATACTCATGGCTACATATGTTAGGACAGGCAGGTATAACTATAACTATATGAATTTATGTTGATTGTTACAACGTTTACTAGTAATAGTAATAATGACAATTTTTACTGATAGTAGTATAGTGTTCTGTTTAGGCTTGTGACTGAATCTCATGAAAAAACCTACCACGTGTCGATATGTCGAAGTATACCACTTAATGATACCACAAGTTTAGCTGGAGCTGTGAAGTATAATTCTAAAGATGAATATGTCGTTTTGGATGAAATCGATCAAGCCGAAGTCGTTGTCAATAGTAAGTATAAAAACGATGTTTGTATTCCTTAAAGTGACTCTCAATTACCCTGTACGCACTTGTCTGTTTCTAGAGAATACTATCGTTCTTACGTTCATTGGAAATGATGTCAATAAACATTTTAACAAGGAATGCCATGGGAACAAATGGAAAACACAACTCACTATTATATGTGACCCATACGCGATCGAGGCAAGTTTAAATGTCACTTATAAAAACTCTTGTATAATAATAAAAAAAAAAAGTTAGTATTCCGTTTTAGGTTAGTTAGTATTTCCGGTTTTAGGAACTGTACTGAAACAAATCGTCCAGTAAATTCAGTACCAATAAATAAAATTATAAAAATATGCAAACCGTCTAGACAATATTTTTTATTAGAAAATAAAATATTATAAGGTTAATAGGAGACATACTACTTTTTAAGGCATTGGTGTATACAATTTTTACTAAAAGATAGTTAAAAAATTTATACTTTGCTGGTTATACATTTTAATAAATATGATTTTCTAAAAAGACAGCTTTTACACTATAAAAATACAGTCGGAAAATATTTTTTTATTTAAATTTTATTATTTTATATATATATTTACTTTCGTGCTCCTTATAAAAGTACTATCTGCATATTATGTAATCTCTTCTTAGCACGACCGTTAAGTTCAATGAATGTTATTTACATAATTTTATTATTAATAATTTGTAATTTTATTTATTACAATATTTGCCATTGTTCTAAATAAGAAATAGGCATTGTATTATTTACAAATTATTCCAATTTTGGTTTAGCACAATTAGTTTATAACTAAAAGATATAAATATTATTGCTGAAGTACATCCTGTAAGGACACTTAACAAGTTGAAGTACAATTGTTTAATTACATTGTGTGTATTGTATTTTAATATTCTGATCAATAAATAACTATATGTATTAATTTTAGGACACGATTAAACTAGTGGGTGAAGATCCCGATCACCTCAAAGTATGTCAGATAAAATTTAAAATATCAACTTCAAAAATATGTCGAGGAAGTGTTTTTGTAAAAACTCCAACTATACAAGCCAAGTACAATGATTTGCCGACGGTTATAAATGGTTTACTCATCAACAATACACAATATAATAATAATGTAAACGATAATAATTTAAACAACTATCGCCATGATGGATTTGTATACATTCAAAACAATTCAAAACAACAAAACTTACATCAAGACAATTCAAATAATTATATTCGTGGACCATATTTTAAGAGGAGATTGATGATGAACACAGAAAATTCTACATTCGTCAAGCAACCGTCTGAAAACGTATCTCAGGAGATTAAAGAAATTTATAACGAAATGACGATTCTTTTGACAAAATTATTCCTCATATTTATCCCAAGGCCTATTATTGTTGCAGTTGGGATAGTGTAAGTATTTGTTGATTTAAATTAATAAATAAGAAAACAATTTTAAATGAATAATATAGATGTTACTTTTTGTTCAGGTTGAGCGTATATTACCGATGGAGTTCAATTATTAAATGTATTAAAAAAATTATTTCTTCCAAAATGCCTAAGGTATGGTATGTAAAAAAATATGTCACAATACACTTAAGATTAAATTATTTATAGGGTGAACAGCCGCTGCTCAGTGAAAATACTCCCCTAATCCCGGTTAAAGATACTTCAAATGAAAAAGTAGGAGTGGTCAAGGTCGATGTCGAGGTCAAATGTCTGCATCATTGCGGGGGAAAAGAAGAGGAAAAAGCCTCTCAGGTGGCAACCGGATTTTATTATGTAAAAAAAATCCCGAAACCTATTTGGATTGTAATTGGGGCGGTGTAAGTATTTGATAATACCTTGTTAATTAATAAATAATAAAAAAATTATAAATTACTAATAAGGATGTTTTTTTTTATTAAGAGCTGTCGTTATTACAATGCTAATATTACAAATGACGTTGGGTGGCTTTATTTTTTGCTTGCTCTGGATTTGGTGTATAGTACGTAAAAAAATATATTATTAGCAACTATACATTAAGTTGCATAAAATTGATTTATGTTTAGTGGAAATCGGGACAGTTAAGTGAAGAAAATGTTCCACCTGTTCCGGTTAAAGACACTTTAAATGAAAAAGTAACACAGGGCCAGGGGGAAAATAAGAAGGAATTCATAGGAGTGGTCAAGGTCGGCGTCGAGGTGAAAGGTCTGCATCATCAAGGAGACAAAGATGAGGGAGGTGCTTCTCAGGGGGCAAACGGATCATCAGCAGTCCACGTTGAACAAAACACATTAACTAGCGCCAGTATAGTCGAAGGGACTGAATGTACAACGGACACATCAGGTGAATCTAATATCTCAAAAGAAACGACGTAGAAAATGGATTGGGAGACAAGAAGATTTAATCACAGAAATAGACAAGGTTTGAGTTTGACACTCAATGGAAACTACTCGAGTCTCACAAGTATTCACCAACGAAATACCGAATTAGTTATTATATATATATTTTTTAATAATTGCCAAAATTTGATATAAGAAATTTACATTATTGTTCAAATGTTTTAAAATTTATTTGAACTGCTAAAGGCATTTAAATTTAACGGTCGCAACCAAACAACGAGTATGAAACAAAAATAAAATAAAAAAATTTAAACTACTTTTGATGTGATTGGTGTTTTTGTATTGGTTCTAGGTTATTTAGACCGGTACGGTTGAGCGTTAAAAATGCAAAAACGCGGACATTGTATGATCCAATTTGATTAGATTTGGTGTCCCAACTTAATTATTGAAGAAGTTTCAATTATTATTACTCTTTACTAAAATCGTTTGGTCGGGGCGATTTAAACATTGTTTGGTCTTATACATTCCAAATAAAAGGAAGGAACCGTGAATTGTTATGATTACCACTGAAATACGTTTTTTTTTAAAGTATGACTAATTAATATATTTATATAATTTTAATTAAAATATCGTGAATACATAACAATTTGTCGTTTTTTGCCTGACACGTAACCAGTAACCACAGAATATTTTCAACGTCTATCACTCGAAAAAGATTTAAAACATTGTTGTCAAAACCATCTTTAATGAGTTTTGGTCTTAATTTGGTGGAAGTCGGCACAAACAAATGGCCACAAACCATTGTCACAGTTCTCGTCTTAGTGAAATTGACTTAAGTATAAACGTAGAAAAAACTTCTGTTTGATTTCGATGGGAATATTATTTATTTTAAAACTATATTCGAATAATCAATACTCGGACCGCGTTTTGCATTTTAAACAATGGGCCGTACAAAGTGACTTTTTTATTTATACCCAATTATAAAAAAAATTATTTCTTTTCTTTATTTGCCACATGTGTCATAAAGAGATACGTTAAACAATCAGAGTCTTCTACGATGTTCATCTTCTTTTTTTTATTAATTGTATGATAATAATATTTCTCTGTTAATTTCCAAACGCAACATTTTAAACATTTTATTAAAAGAGATACAGAATCATACCGAGTCTTCCACAATAATTATTTTATTTTTTTTTTTTTAACTATACAACAATATTATTTTAAAACGCAACATTTTAAACTAATAAGCGGTTTATTATAATACTATTTTTGTAAAATTGTATAAAAACTTAACGTTCGATGTTTTTTTTTAAATTAACATTGATATGTAAATTCTAAATTGAGACCGTGTCGAATGCTGTTTTAGAAATAAAGTACAATTTTAAACAATTTTCGAACGGAACATTGTTACTGCGGTTGGGAACATTTATTTTGCTGGCAAAAGTGTAACTAATTCATACACATTAAATATACCCACAGGCCACAAGTGGTTACACTATTTTAAAATACTTAATAATTTTATATGACTTGTGATTATTTCCGATCTAATGCATTATGAAGTTATACATATATATATATATATATTGTATTGATATCAATATATCATACATGAAGGGTACAGGGGAAAACGTTAGTAAACATGTTATAAAAAAAATTGTTTTCCAAATAGTTTTTTTCAATTTATGCCATTAATTTTTTTTATTTATGTCAATAGATTGTTTAAATAAATACATTTATTATTAGAGTAGCATTTAATGTGATTTTTTTTGTTCTTATGTAAGAGGCTGAGGAATTCACAAACTTTGTTTTTGATATACTCTAAAATTTTCATAATGTAACTACTACCGTTTTTCCCCTGTGCCCTTCATATATTCACATAGCTTAGGACAAGTTGAAATATATATATATAAGTATTTGATTACGAAACGTAAAAATATATCATAAAATAAACTACATTAAACAAATGTTATGTATACCAACTAAGACTTAAAATTTTTACTTGCAAACTTTCAATGGGCTACTTTTAAAAAACGTCCATTGTACTGTTGTTTTTATTTTACTATTTTCTGAATGATTTAGTTTGGTTAAAAGTCAAAAGATAATTTGGTTAAAATAAAATTGTTGTATATAATTGTTTTGAGAATTTCCATTATATTAAATCCAAAAATTTAGAAAAAATGTTTGGTTTTGTTCAAAAATTCTAATTGAATAAACTAGCAAAGTACAAATAGAGCCCAGTGTAAACCAGCATAGGTAAAACTTGGATAATCTCCCCATTTGGATCAAATTATTTGAAGAATTGAAATGTTGAAACTAGAGAATGAATAAAAATAATTTACTATATCTATCACAGGCCTCGCTGGAGAGTAATTAACTGATAAGGTAGTCAATGACTATTGAACTATGTTTTAAACGTCTATGGACTTTAGTATTTCATTTCTTTTTTAGGCATATTTAATCAGTATACTTATAATTTTATACGCGTTTATTGGTCTATAATAGTGTTGTTGAACGACGGCGTTATCGCTGTGATATTTTTTACTTTCAATTTTTGACCTATAATAGTCCTCCTAATTCCTATAATATTTCCTCGGCCATGATTTGTAATATTATGATTGTTTACAAACGTACGATTGTTGCCTGTAAGTACAATAAACGTTATATCCGTCGCTTAGAGTAGGTTGTGTTTTTTAAATTCCATATACATATACATTTCTAGTGTCTAAACCGGATTTTCACTTATAAGCCTACCACCAAACTGTTTCGGTTCTGTTTTGGATGTTATATAACAGTAGTTTACTTGATCATGGTTACTTCACATGTCACGGGCTAGTAGCAGTCGACCACATCCTAACGACGGTGAAGGTTAAACGTGGCCTACGCTAGCCTCTTTATTCACCCTTTCGAAAATTCAGTCCTTGGTTCGAACAGTGTTATGCTGTTGATACTACCCTTATGGACGTGGCTGGTAGCGTGTGGTCTCGCAGGGGTGGCGATCGTCGGATATCCGGTATCGGCCGACAGGGGCTGCGTCCTCCGGAAGAACTCGGGTCTACACCAGACCATAGGGCTAGCTATGCTGACAGACTTGTTTGGCGAAACGTAAGTAGCAGACCGTGTTTGTCGTTATACAGCGTGAAAATTAAGTATAACATATAAAGAAATACAATTTCTTGAGATTTTGAGCTTAAGCTAGACTTAAAAAAACCTTTATTTAGGCTTTCTCAAATAAATCAAGTAAATAAGAAATAATTCAAGTAAATCAAGGAAATAAATACACATAGCGTGACGCTAAATATCTTACAGTTAAGCTTAATAAAAACTCTTCCAATAGGGAATTGACATGATTATAAATTATATAAAAAAAAAACAAATCTTAACGTACTTTGTCTGTTTTTAAATTAATAATTACAATGTACAAATCGATTGTGGACTTAGTAACAAAATATCTTCATTATTTCACTGAAATTTGTTAGGACAAGCAGATATATCTAAATTAAATGAATTTATGGTTCTTTGTTTGTTGTTACAACGTTTACTAACAATAGAAGTAATAACATTTTTCTAATAGTAATGTGTTCTGTTTAGGCTTATGACTGAATCAAATGAAAAAACTTATTACGTGTCGATATGTCGAAGAATACCACTTAATGATACCACAAGTTTAGCTGGAGCTGTAAAGTATAACTCTAAAGGAGAATACGTAGTTTTGGGTGAAATCGATCAAGCCGAAGTCGTCGTCAATGGTAACTATAAAAACAATAATTGTATACCTGAAACTGACTTTCAATTAACCTGTAATTTTATTTCTAGAGGAAATTATCGTTCTTACGTACAATGGGAGTGAGGTTAATACAAATTTAAACGATGAATGCCATGGGAACAGATGGAAAACACAACTCACTCTTATGTGTGACCCATACGCGATTAAGGTAAATTAAAACGTTTACTTAAAATATGTTAAATTCGTTTAATTTTATAAAATTGTTTTAACACGAAATAGTTTATGTAAAATACACATTTAATTTTTAATTATATTATATCTTGCAAGTCTTAGTTTTAAAGCATTTACACTGAATGAAATCTCCGATTTTATTTTGTAAACAGTAATGTACGATTCAAATTCATTAAATTAATACACGTCTGTAAGGAGCAAATAAAAACTTTTATATCTTACCCATGCGTGATTGGATACTGTTGATGTACAATATTAAAACAAAATTAAAAATATATTAAAATAAGCTTATAATTTAGGTTACAGTTATTAGTAACTACACTGAAACAAATCTCCCAGTAAATAATATTAATATTCTAGTAATTGTGAAATAAATATTTATAAGCTAATTATAATATTATTAAATACCGATATAAGGTTTAAATCCATAAAAACCTTTACATAACTATAAAATCTTTATTTATTCAGAAAAAAATAATTTATATTTTAAAAGGATATATACTTATTAAATGACTACTTTTTAAGGCGTTCGGTGTCGGCCGAAGTTGATTTTGATAAATCGTAAAATATATAATTTGTAAATTTAATAATACCCAACTCTTTTTTTTTACATTTCATTATATCTGACAAAAATATTTTTAAATTAAAAAAAAAATAATGAATCGTCAATCCTTAACTACCCTGTTATTAAATATGAATAAACAATTTTTACACTTGTTATAAATAACAATTGAAGTAAATATGAATGCTGAAGCTTAGCTTAGACAAGTTGAAGAAGTATTTAATTGAATTTTGTTTAATGTATAACTAAATAGTCAGTTATAATTTTTTGTTATATTTAGGACACGCTGAAGTTAGTGGACGAAGATCTTGATCAATCTGAAATATGTCAGATAAAGTTTGAAATACTAACTTTAAAAATATGTCGACGGAACTCAAGTGTTGTCATAAGAACTCCAATTATACAGGATAAATACAACAATTTACCGTTAGTTATAAATAGATCTCACATCAACAATACTCAATATAACAATAATAACAGTAATAATAGAAATATAGTCAATAATATAAACGAGAATATTTTTAAAAACTATCGTCATTATGGATTTGCATACATTCAAAACAATTCAAAACAACCAAAGTTACATCAAGACGATTCGAGTAATTATATTCGTGAACCATATTTTAAGAGGAGATTGATGATGAATACAGAAATTCCCACACTCGTCAAGCAATCGTCTCAAAACTTATCTCAGGGGATTGACGAAGTGAATGACGAACTGACAAGTATTTTTGTAAAATTAATCGAAACATTTATCCCGAAGCCTATTTTTGTTATAGGTATGGTGGCGTAAGTATTTGTCGATAAATAATAACAATATTATAAATTACTGCACTAATGGAGATGTTTCTTTTGGTTTAGGTTGACCGTATATTATCGGTGTTTTTCAACATTTGAGTCTATAGTAGGAAAGGTATGGTATGGTTTGTAAAAAAATACGTTGCAAACAATGAAAATTGAATTATTTTTAGCGTAAAAAGTCGCAGCCCAGTAAAAATGCTCCCTCATTAAAGGCAAGTCATAGAAACCATCGTAAAAATAGGGGAAAACCCAAAAAAAATAGAAGAAGATCCCAAATGTCATGTAAAACATTATCAGATGTCTGCGAAGTAACAATAAGTGTTCCTATCAAGGAAACTGATAACACATCCTACGTTTCGGGTGAATCAGATGACCTAAAACACAGCGACCAACAAGAGTTCAAAGAAGGCAAACCGGACGACTATCTTATCGGTTCAAAGCAATGTGGCATGGACATTGGTCTGGGAGACGAAGTCGTCGATTTGGATTTATCTGTCGTTGAAATAGATGAAAAAAACGAACAAGAAGGAGAAGACGAATTCATTGGAGACGACAACGCCGACGTTGAGGTCAATAATCCGGATCATTACGAGGGGAAAGAAAAGGATAACGTTTCTCAGGGGGCAACTAGACATTTTTTTCTAAAAATAATCTGGAAGCCAATTTGGATTGTAATTGGGTTGGTGTAAGTATTTGATAATTCAAATAAATAAATGATAACAACATTTTAAATAACTAACAAAGACGTTTCCTATTGCTTAGAGTTATCGCTATCATAATGCTGATACTGGATATACCGTTGGGTAGCTTTATATTTTGCATACTCTGGATTTGGTGTATGGCAAGTACAAAACATATGTTTTTAGCAACTATACATTGAATCACTTACAACTGAATTATTTTTTAGTTTAAACTGTGTAAACCGGGGCAGAAAAAGAAAAAAATTGATGAAAATACTCCCCTAATTCCGGATAAAGATACTTCAAATGAAAGAGAAACACAAAACGAAGGGGTTTTCCCCATCATTTTTGAAGAGGAAATCGCTCCTCCGGTGGAAACCAGACCAACAGCTGTCTACGATGAACAGAACAAATCAGTAGAAGTTTGGATTGCTGATGAGACTGAAGATTCAGCCAAGGTGTCGGGAGAATCAAATATCCAAAAAGAAAGCGATGATCCCGTTCCCAAAGAAGGTACATCGGACGGCTCCCACATCGATTTGGACAAAGGCATGAGTGTGCCATTTCATTTATCTCAGGTGGCAACTGGATCTACAGCTGTCCACAGTGAACAGAGCACACCGGCTGGCACTTCGACAACTGAAGATAAAACAGATATATCGGGTGAATCTGCATTGGGGCAAATCACCCGAAATTACTAGGAGGCTTAAACACCCAATAAACTTTTAAAAAAACAGAATGGCTTTGCCCCTTCTTACACTGTAGTAGTGCAAATTCCGTACCATTCTATACCTCTAAAAGTTAAATTAGTTATAACATTTTGTGAAAAACAAATTGTTTTTATTTATTATTAAGTAATTATAAACTATTAAAACAATATTATAGATTTTTATGCGGCGGTCAGCATATTTATTTAAACCAAAATAGCTAATTAGTTAATAATTGCCACAATTTGATTTTAGAAATTTTAAACTATTGCTTAAACGTTTTAAAACTTATTTCAACTGCTAAAGGCATTTAAACTCAACAGTTGATACCAAACAGTGAGTATTAAACAAAAAAATGATAAATTTTGATTTTCATCCTTTAAAATAATATATATTACAATCACCTTTTATAGATATAGAGCTGTCATATTCAAATATATTAAAAAAATCTGATAAAGATTGGATAAATATGATTGTTTCAACGTTTTTTTTAGATAAATTTTTATTTGTATTTCATTTAATAAATTTATCAAATTATTATAAATTTTAGTTTAATTTTGTTTTACATTTTTTTTATCGACAAAAAATATAACTGTTATGATTAGTATATTTGGCGTTAGTTAATGATAATATGACTTAAAAAACTTAACTAAAATACTCAACAATTTCATATGACTTGTGATTATTTCCGATCTAATGCATTGTGAAGTGATACATATAATATATATATATACTAACGGTAGTAGTCACATTATAAAAAAAAATTTTTCAAATAGTTTTTTTCAATTTATGCCATTAATTTTTTAAATGTATGTCAATAGATTGTTTAAATAAATACATTTATTATTAGAGTAGCATTTAATGTGATTTTTTTTTTGTTCTTATGTAAGAGGGTGAGGAATTCACAAACTTTGTTTTTGCTATACTCTAAAATTTGTATAATGTGACCACTACCGTTTTTCACCTGTGCCCTTCATATATTCACATAGCTTAGGACAAGTTGAAATATACATAAGTATTTGATTACGAAAGGTAAAAAGATATCTTAAGATAAACTATATTAAAAAAAATGTTATGTATACCAACTGAGACTTGAAATTTATACTTGTAAGTTTTAATTGGATACTTTTGAAAACATCCATTGTTCTATTTTAATATTTTTTAGATGATTTTAGGTGTTATAATTCAGTTAAAATAAAATTGTTGTATATAATTTGTTTAATACTTCCATGATATAAAGATTACAGAGAAAACATTTTCTCTATAGTTCTGATTTGTCAAGACCGCTCCTGATTTATTTCGCAATTTTTCACAAAATTATTGAGTGTAAAACTAAACATTAAAAAAATGTATATAAATTTCAGCTTTGCCCTCCCTCCATTTTTATCAAATTAGACGAATAATTAAAATTTAATCTACATAATGATTAAAAATAATTCACTATCTATCACTGCCCTCGCTGGACAGTAATACATATATATATGGTAGGCATTGAAATATGTTTTAAATGTAAAGAGGACTTGGAATTTCATTTTTTTTTTTTTTAAGCAATTTTAATGAATATTATAATTATTTTCTTACACATACGTGTTTAATTATTGATAGTATTGTAATTTTAAATGGCAGCAGGTCATTGAATGACGGCGTTATCGCCTTTGTATTACTTATAGTAATCAAAGCTATACTGTAAGCTATAGTATAGCTGTATTTCAAAACTATTACTAAATTCCAATATGGAGCGCTTTCAACGAAGCGAAAACCTCAAGCTTACAACGTGCTGGCTTTAAATGTATAATTAATGGAGACAAGCAAATCAAGCAAAAAATGACTGTGTTTTGTAATTTTATTTGATAATTAGAATCCATTTTAGTAACTCAGTCAAGCCTCAGCCAATAACTGGCATACAAAACTTTTGGAAAATTAATATGTAATCGTTATTTTTAAAGTCTTAATATTTTTTGGAATAGCAGTGTTAGCGGGTAACTTAAAAGTCAAATACTAGCAGCTTTCATAATAATATTAAAACTTAACAGTTAAAATCGAAATGATAAACCTCAGAGAAATCTTGTTTTTACTACAAGTGTCGACTAGTTTGATTTCTATATAAGAACACATTTTTTTTTAAAAGTAATTATTCCATTCAATATTGTTATCAAATTGTTGTAAAGTATTTTAATTGTATGTTTTGATATTTTTGTAAAACATGGATACATGGATAAACAAAAAAAATAGACAATGGTCCAGAAAAGAGTTATTTTTTAGACGTTGATGTTATAAAAAGCGCCTAATACAATATGACTTGTGAAATATAATCGTTCTGTGTAATATTATTTTCTCATTTCCCAAGTAGTACATTACAATATTAACAATATCTAGCAGGCATTATAAAATTATGAAATTATGTTTTATCACTTACACACACACACACACACACACACACACATATATATATATATATATAAATTATTATTATAATAATATAGCAATCAAATAAAGCAAAACTTATTTGATGGCCGATAATGTTGTACTGTTGTTAAATGGATGAGATATTTGAATGACGGCGTTATCGCTGTGGCCTGTTCTCTTTTGACCTTTTAACAAACGTTTCCTACGGCCGTGAATGTAATATAGGTATAACAACAACATTAAGACGATTAGACAAGACGCCTCAGTCAAAAAAGTAATACCTATCCAAACCGGATTTCTACCAATAGGTCTCTTTGCCCAGACGACTGCTGTTGTGTTATGTAAGAGCGGTATGCATACTCCGAGCATTGCACTGAGACCCCAGTAGTCGACCGCGTGCCAGAGACCGTGCGCATTTTGTGCGGCTAAGTTTTCCTCCCATCGGCCCAGTCGGTTCTGTGTCCGGACAACAGTATAGTGTAGTGAACCCTGTGTCATGGGGTTGATCCCACCCTTGTGGACGTTTCTGGTGGCATGCGGTATCGCAGGAGTGGCGGTTGTCGGATATCCGGTGCCGGTCGATCGCGGATGCGTCCTCCGCAAGCACTCCGGTCCACAACAGTCCATAGGACTGACCATGCTGACCGACCTGTTTGGCGAAATGTAAGTACCAGACCTAATATACCAGATTAATACCTGATTAAAGGTACCTAATTACAAAAGTGACGGCTGTATAGCGCTGCAATTGGTGTATAACGATTAAATATATATAGTGTTATGTAAATATAGTTGCTAATTGAAAAACTAAAACAATAACTCTAAAGGCAATTTTAATCGCCTCTAAATAAAAATGAATCAACGGAGATTTTAATCGTAATTGATTAAACATAAAAAACTCTACATGCACCTATTATGTATACCACCTGCGTATTCATTATTATTTGTATGGACATTTTGTTATTTGGACATTTCTTATTTTTTTTTCAAGTTGCTTACAACTTTGTGAAGGTGTTTTTTAAAACAAAACAAATTGCCAGAGGAATTCGGATTCAGCGAAAATGTAAAAACATTTTAAAAGTAGATGTATATTTAGTCATATTTAAAAAAAAGAGGAAACATTTGGTTATACATTGTTACAATCGATTTAATTATAATCAAGATCTTAGAAGTTAAATTTAATATTGTAAGCACATTCAATTTAATCTAACAAAGGTCTTACGATATAATCTTATTTTAACGGTAAACATTTTTGCATGTGTCAGTATTTACAATCGAAAAGGAAAAACTGATTTACCATTTTTAGTATCTATTCTAGGAAATTTCTTTTACATTTTTTTTTCTTGTTAAAGTGAACATTTTTACAATAATTGTGACTTAACAAAATAGTTTTAAACGGCCTTATAATTACTAGTTTTACCTAGGCGATAAACAATGTCTCCACATATATAAGTAGTTACAAATGTTTTAGAGAGCTGTTTTTCTTCAGTTTTTAAATAAGTTTTAAAGGGTTTTCTATAAAACTGCTTTGCGCGGGACAGGTTTGTGAGGCCAGTATTAACAGTAAATTTACCAAATATTTAGAAAGTATAGAGGAGAACTTTATCCGTGGTGTAGCGTTTTATTTTTTTCGATATCTTTACCTTATCTTTTTTTATAAATGATTTTAAAAAGGAAAAAAAATTAATGAATATTTACAAATGAATACTTTTGATTGTGCTTAAGTTATCAAATATCTGAAAACGCTACCCCATAGATAAAGTTTATCTCTATCCATCCATTGTAAAAATTATGCACGGCTACTCTAAATACCGCTCTTGCATTCTTGTCCTCTTGTTTTAGTAGATAAATTACGGGTGAGTAGCGTCCTCCTGAAATTAAAAAAGAATTGATAAAATTGATGAGGAATTTAATGAATATTTAATAAATAATTTAGACAATTCTAATGAAATGCTTTGAAGAAAAGCTTTAATATCTGATAAATTATTTTATAATATTTATAAGTTTACATAACATACATTATTTCTAATCTTATTAGTTTTCTACCTTCTTTTTACAGATAAAACCAATCGGTGTAGTTATTGATGAAATTTTAATAAATATATTTTCTTGCAATTATTACATATTATTATGGATGCATTTAGTTAAATGCAACTACTTGTTCAATTTAACTAAAATACTTAAGTCAAAATGATTAGTAATATTATTTGGTGATTGTCATTGTCGTTCAAATATTACGTTGTGCATGTTATCAAATACAAATAAAATTCATTACTATACGTAATTCTAGAATATATCAATTTAATATACGTTTTTAGTAATATTTAATTGTAAAAAAAAAAAAATAACTATTAGTAAACTTTATCATCATTGTCAAACCAGTTTTATCATTTTCAAATTTGTTTCGACATCAAGTTTTTGACAGAATATAATAATATATATTAGTAACACAAATGTGTTTCGATAATATTATTTGTAAATAATAAAATGTGTAATTAATGAATAATTTAAAACGTAAAACTATTAGTATGCTGTAAATATTTTCTATCCAACTTCAGTTTATATGTATATTATTGTATTACCTAGCTATTTAAAAAAAACTGGTTTCATTCCTTTGACTCGTGTATTTAAATTGTAAATAACAATAAATATATTTAATTATATATTACTCTTGTTGTGAATGATAAATAAGTTTTGTTTTTTAATTATTTAAATCGTTTTGTGTTGTAAGGCAAGAAAACGTGATGTTTTCCTTGTATTTCGTAACTTATTTGGTATTTAACCGTTGTAAAATATTATTAATGAGTAATAATTATTATTTTATGAGATTTTATTACGGTTATACCATGGTTGAAATATATACTATAGATAAGCAATGCATATGGAACGACTGGACAGCCTTTTTGTAGTTTTTTTTAAAAAAGGCTCAAAATGCATTTCAAACAAAATATGCTTGTCGGCTAAAATAAACCATGTGATGTTTTATTCTGTCTATAGCTATGCCATATGTATCAATCATTGTCTATATATTCTACCTATATTATATTTTAATCTATGATTACACTCTGACCTCGGCGCCTTTTATGTTTCTTTTATCATTACCGGTATTTTATTCATTAAGATAAATTGCTGAAAATAAAAATAGAACAGACTTTTTTATCAATTGAAAAATTATTTTGGGTTACGATTTGGATTGACGCCAACATTTATAATATGCTAAGCGAATGTTGCTTATAAAGACGATATCAAAAAATGTCAAAGAAAAACTTTATGTAAGCTACATAAGACCAATACTGACTTATGCATGTGCCACTTGGGCCACAACTAAAGGTGATGAAGAAAAACTAAGAAGATTGGAAAGGATAATTTTAAGAAGATTACATGGTCCAGTATTTAATACCGAAACCCAACAATGGGAATTCAGATTGAATGCACAACTGGGAAACCTATACAAAAGGGAAAATATTGTACAATTTATTAAAAGTATAAGAATGCAATGGGCCAGACGTGCGTGGCGAGCGAACGGATGTCTGGTAAAAGAAATAATGATTTGGACGTTAGCAGGGAGGACACTAAGGGGAAGATCACGAGGAAGATGGATAGACAGCATAAATGAGATATGGAATGCGGTAGCCCAAGAAGTTGGGACGGATTGGCAAGTTATAGCGCAGAATAGAGAGAAATGGGAGGAGGTAGTTTAGTAAAGATCTTCAATGGATCTTAAAGCCGGAAAAAAAAATCTTGGGTCAAGTAATAACACGCCATTACAACACCGTTACCTTCTCAGCTTCGCATCCAAACTAAAAAATTCAACATAACGTAATATGTATGTATCGCGGTGTTAATACTTTCTGTTTCTATTCGACTTATTTGCAGTACTTGCTTATGCAATATTAATAAGGAATAATTAAATCGATAAGGTTGTAACTAAGTTGATTTGTACATTTTTCGAACAGATTTAAGGTTAACAACAAGAAACTCTTACTTGGCAAAATAAAAATGTAGCGTTTATGATTTATGTAGAATTAGAACGTTTTTTCATTTATTGCAACATAAGTTTTTTAAGACTATTTGTTTTATTTGAATTTTTATTTAGTATAATTATTATGAAAAATATTCACAAATAAATAAAACTATTAATAATACATAGGTTTAATACAAATTGCTATACTAATAGGACCAAAAACTAAAACCATGAGTTGATTAGTTCGTTCGTTTTTACAACAAAATATCATACATTTTGGACAAACTGAATTTGTTTTCAAATTCAGTTAAAACACATATTTTAAAATTCATAAAATTAAAATAAATACATTTTTAAAGTGATTCGTATTATATTTTCTACCAATGCAATTGAGAGACCATACAACATTATTAGGACATAATATCGTAAAATGCTAAATAACAACATGCGATTTTTTAATTATACGTTATAATAAATGTAATAGTATTTTCTTATTTTTACTTTATACATGAACAAATCTTAGTAGGCCATAGTAATTGTTGAAGACCTTGAACTCTATATGAATTATTAATGTATTTTATGCATGCTATATCCTTATATTTAAATAAATAAAAGTATTTTATTTTAATAAGTTAACTAAAAATATGTCACTATCATAAATTATTCGTTAGACAAATTTAACAGTTTTATTTATTTTTGATAGTTTGTAATATCTGAAATTAGAATTACCTAGTCTTGAAAATTCTTAGGTTCTTCGATTTTTCTTTTTCATTTCGTTAAATTTTTATAATTAATATTTTTATCTTTTTAATTGATCCATTTACTTTGGCAATGCTTATTATTCTTCATTGATTTACAGCATTACAGTTAGAAAACTTAATAACATTTTACATAAATTCTCTAAATTTAAAGTGACTAGTTAAACCATCGACGATCTAGCATACATTTATTGTGTTTAGAATGAATATTTGTTCATTAAAATACACAATTACTTAAAATGATTTTATAATAGGTCAGCCAGGTATTTTGTGCCTATTATAAAAATTATATGCACTTGTTTGCTACAAACTTCACTTACAATAACAATAATAATAATTCATAAATATTAAAATTAACTGTGTTTATTTGATTATTTAATGTAAAAGTATGGTTATTTTCTATCTGTACACACGTCTACCTTATATAATTGTCAAGGTTAATATTTCTATGGAATAAACTTTAATTAATAAACAAATAATAACGTGTTCTGTTTAGGCTTATGACTGAATCTAATGGAAAAACCTACTACGTGTCAATATGTCAAAGAATACCACTCAATGGTTCCACAAGTTTAGCTGGAGCTGTGAAATTCAACTCTAATGGAGAATACGTCGTTTTGGGTCAAATCGATCAAGCCGATGTCGTTGTAAATGGTAAACTTAAAAACAATAATTGTATACCTCAAACTGACTCTGAATTAACTTGTACTTATGTTTTTAGAGAAAACTATCGTTCTTACGTACACTGGAGGTGATATTAATACTGATTTAGACAACGAATGCAGAGGCAACCGATGGAAGACATATCTCACTTTTATCTGCAACCCATACGTGATTGATGTAAGTCGAAATTGTTCACTTGTGAAACTCTTATATTTAAAAAAAAAAATTCTATAATTTAGTTTTCAGTTTTTAGGAACTACACTGAAACAAATTTTCCGGTA